TCGTAAGCATTGCTCCGGCGGCACGCGGAATGAAAAAGGTCACAGTACGGTAGCACGAAGTCCTCATTCAGGAAAACAGAAGATTGGAGGTTGCAAACAGGCTTGTCCCGGCAGTAAATAAGCACCGTCGTACTGTCCTCTTCTCTTGGATCTAACGTCGTATATGCTTCTGGATTAGTACTCTGAATTCTTTACTCTCCATTGTTTTGCTTCTGAACTTCCCTGTTTAAAATGCTCACAGGACAGTTGTTTCTGGGTTTTTTCTTGTACTCTTTAATTTTACACAAGGCACACATGATCGCGATCTTACTGATAGGCAGGGAATTACTGATATACCGAAACGCTTTGAAACTTAATATCCCGTCGGTAGCTAAGTGGTTGTTGTTGGCATTAAAGTGCCATCCTGTCGTTCTTATCACCATATTTCTTTGGCATAAAAATGTTTGGCCTAAGATAAGCTCTTGAACTCAATGGGGAGAAATGCTTTTCTAAGAAAACAAAATTGCCTTAGTTCTCACTTTCACTTTTTGTCAATATTAGGCTAATTTTAAGTCTTTATACGTTAAGGAGATGGAAGTTAACACAACTTACTTCTCACTCACCAAATTCGCAACAAAGTACTCTTCCACTTTGGCCACCGTACCAGCATTCCTTTCAACGGGCTTTACGGTGAGTGTAGTTTTCCTAATACTTCTCTGAACAAAACAATTCCTGTTTCTTTCTAATGATTTCTATCACTCTGCCGTGTCTATCACATCTCTGGATACGCCATCTGATAAATCATGTGCCACTGATGAGATGTTCAGATGTTCAAAAATTTCGAAAAAAACTGCACTGACAAACCGGATTTTTGATTTCGTAACGCGGGAGGTCCAGAGCCGGCAACTTTTCAACAAAAAAAAAAAATCACTTGAAATACGCAGGTCAAAAATTATTATGGTACGACACCAGCAGTTGATGGTAGACAGTCATTTTTGGCTTCTGCAGGATTTCAACCAAAAGGCCTAGTAGTGACTGAACACCTTGTTGATCTTTTCTTTTATGTTTCTTATAACTTTTCTAGACGTAAAGAGTAAGTTTCATTCAATGTTTTTAACTTCAGTAAGTTACTTTCGACAGTACGTTACTTCGCGATCCACTGTGGACTTTTAGCTGCCGGATATCGAACCAATTTGAAGCTTTATATGGTTTGGCTTAATCCATTGTTCAGACGGAGGATGTTTAAGTTTAGGTCGTAGGCGGTGACCCTGTAATCTTGCCTGCGCAAGCGCAATGCCCCGGCTTTTTAAGACACGCTCCTAGACAGAAGTTGGGAGGAAGTAAGAGAGCGAATACGATGGCATGAGAGATCTTCCCAGAAGCAAGAGACTTGCTAGGTGTAACAACGTTAGGTGCATAACGCTATCCTGTGCTAAGTATAAATAACTTGATAAGCTCGTGCTGTCGCATTTTCATTATCTGCAGAGTTTCTAGTTGGTTGCATTTAATTGCATATAGAAAGAGAAAACCCGTGCAAAGGAGCTGTTCAGACCAGTCTAACCCGGAAAGATTGTCGAATATTTCTTACGAAAGTATAGTGATTTCACCAAAGTCTGGTCTTTCCTATTTTAGAATCAGTGATTTAGAATGTATAGCGGGATCGGATTAAAGACAGCAAGAGGTTCAGGGACGAGTGGTTACGTACAAGCAAATCATGCGAATTTCCAGTTACCTGAGGTATGTAATTACATTTTATTTAGTGACTAGTGTTAACGTTCATCTTTTCCGCTCATTTTACTTTTGAAGGCAGGAAAATTTTTCCAGGCCTATAAAGGAACGATTCCTAGACTTTACTTATGGTTACAATGCACTGTTGCCTATATGCTATAATATCACTGTTTAAAAGAATTTAACGTTGCTGCAATAGAGTCATTATTTATTATAAAAAAAGGTATAAACGGTAAGAATATTTACTGAGTAAACAACTTTGCTTTTTGATATGCTTTAAGTATTCAGAAACAAGTTGCTTATAATTCGGAGGCAGATATCAAGCGTGCAGAAGCTGAACTTTCTAAAAAACCAAACCCAGAACTCCTGGAGCACATGAAGAAGCGAAAGATAGAATTGAAGTGTGCAGATTTCGAACTTTTAATGGGGAAAAAAGTGGGTACTTGTCACAGTCGTTAACATTCTTCTGTTTATTGTCAATTTTAATTTATTCGTTGCGGTAGTCTTGGAGAACGGAAATATCAGAATTGAGCAACAATGTTGGGTTCAGCCCTCTGTTTCGAAAAGTCTTTATCTTTTCAATGAAGATAGTTTTTTTACTTTTATATAGTCCTAAATTCGTTTGTATGAGCATCTCAAGTTCTGATCATTTTAGGTCATGACCATTAAGAATTAGTAATTGCTATAGGCATTTGATCGCCGGGTCATTTTAAGTAGCATGTCTCGTCTAGTCCAGCGTAGTCTTATTTTTTTCAG